TGTCGCGGGAGGACCAGCCAGGTCTGCAGTAACACAGCCTGGCCTGAAATGATGCTGTCGCCAGAGGACCAGCCGGGTCTGCAGTAACACAGCCTGACCTGAGATGATGCTGTCGAAGGAGGACCAGGCAATTGAGAGCAGCAGGTCCCTGAGCCGGTCGCCCTCCGGAGGGAGGATGGTGAGTGCGGCCTTATCCTTCAACGGAGCCTCGTCGGCGTCTGACTCTGTACTCAGTGCCGGCGCCTTCGGAGGTCAGCGAGAGGGATGGAGGCCCGAAGTAAGGCCACTGCCTGGACGCCCAGTCTCTCTCTCTCGCTCTGTCCCCGGCCTCAAACCCGCCAAGGCCGAGGAAGTGAGATAACAAAGTGTAGAGCTGGATGAACACAGCAGGCCGAGCAGCATCAGAAGAGCAGGAAAACTGCCGTTTCGGGCCGAGGAAGTGTCGCCCGAGGCCTCCAATTGCTTCCCCCCCTCAACCCGAGGGAGCCTCCCATTGCTCCCATCCTGTGTCCCCAATTTGATTGGTGGGGGGCTGTTGCTATTCCGCCATGGGAATCCTCATGGCTCAGCCTGAGCATGCGCACTCTTTTTACAGCTGCAGTCACTAAACAGGGGGTTCCCCATATCCACACCACCCCGTATCAACACCCGCTTCATATCCATAACCTCCCTGTAAACATACACCCCCCTCCCCACATCCAGACCCCCACCCTGTGTCTGTACCCCCATCATATCCATAACCCCTTTGTATTCGTATAGTCCCACATCCAAATCCTCATCCTGTGGTCATACACTCTCCAGTCTCTGTTCCCTCCGAGTCCATCAGCCTCCCCAGTGTCCAACCCCCGCTGTGTCCAACACCGTCACCCTCCATTCCCTCCAAAGCCTATACACCCAAATCAATTTTTACACATTTTTCTCTTACCCTGTTAACACCAAATCTCCCTCCACCTTCACATTTCACCCCCTCATTGTGAACACTTGTCGAAGGAGGGACATATTTGTCCTAAAGGACCTCCAGCAGAGTTTGGTCAGATTGATCCCTGGGATGGTTGAATTGTCCAGTCAGGTGAAATTGTGTCTTCTAGAGTTTAGAAGCGAGATATGATCTCGTTGAAGTTGACACAGGCTTTGAGAGTGGATGTATAATGGGATGTTTCCTCTGGTTAGTGACCCTAGGATTAAAGGACATCATCTCAGGATAAGGAGCAGGCCATTTATAACTGATATGAGGAGGCTCCCTCCAGAAGTCACCAGCATCTTAGATGTCAGACTTCAGCCAATTTGTGTCCATTTGATATCAAAAAATGGTTGGAGGCATTGAATACTGCACGGGCTCTATGTCCTGATGACATTCTGGCAATAGTCCTGAAGATTTGTGCTCCAGAACTTGTCATGCTACTGTCCAAAATCTGTCCACCACCTACAACACTCAAGTCAGGAATGTGATGGAATACTCCACACTTGCCTGGATGGGTGCATCCCCAACAACACTCGAAGATTGACAACATCCAGGACAAAGCAGCCTGCTTGATTGGCATCACATCTACAAGCATTCACTCCATCCACCACCGACACTCAGTAGCAGCAGTGTGTACTATTACTATCTATAAGATGCACTGCAAAAATTGACTGAGCTACTCGGACATCACATTGCACATCCACAAATATTTCCATCCAGAGTGTCAAGGGCAGCGGATACATAGGAATACCAGCCCCTGCGAGTTCCCCTCCAAGTCACTCAGCACTTCCTGATATATTGCCATTCCTTCAGTGTGGCTGGTTCAAAATCCAGGAACTTCCTCCCAACTGATTTGAGGCTGTACCTACAGCACATGGATTGCAGTGCTTCATAAAGGCAGCTCATCACTGCCTACCAAAAGCAATAAGTGCTGGCCCAACCAGTGATGCCGACGTCCTATGATTGAATATATTTTTAAAAAGTCTCCCGAGAGCAGTGGTAAATCTTTGGAATTCTCCACTCCTGAGCGCTGTCATTGAGCAGGTTCAAGATCAATCAATAGATTTCTGGAGACTAATAACGTCAAAGGACATATGGAAAATGCAGGAGAGTGACGTTGAGGTTGATTATCAGATATGATCTCACTGAATGGTGGAGCAGGCTTGATGGACGGAATGGCCAACTCGTAGAATGTAGAACAGTACAGCATAGAACAGGCCCTTCAGTGCATCATGTTTCTGCCAAACTTGCTGAATCCAAGCAAAGATCTTGACAGTGATGGGTGGGCCTCCTAGGCCCAAAAGCAGTATGTTCTCTGCTGGAGCCCTTGCCATTGTTCTCAACATTAACTACTTCCCAGTTGATGTCTTGTTTCTTGTAAGCACGAGCAGGTTCTGGCCCAGGCCTATACGGGTCACTTCAGTAGTTTTTGACCTCATTCACTTTGTTATCCTTGATGTTAACAGCTCCGACAAGCAGGTTATTTGAAATGTTGTCGATCGCCACAGAACTTCAGCCAAGGCCTAGCAGCAAAGCGTCACTCTGCCCTGCACTAGACTTTCCCATGGTATTCTTTCCCTCTCCCCATTTTCAACAGCGCAAAACTCTTCACATTTCTCTCTTCCTTCAATTCTGAAGAAGTCTTATTTTATTCAAAATATTAATTTTGTCTTTCTCTACACGAATGCTGCCAAACCTGCAGTGTTTCTTAAGCACTTCCAATTCTTTGTTCAGATCTGCAGTATCTACAGCATTATTATTTTACATTAATTGTTTGTTTGTTGGCTGCAGGGTGCAAGTGGACTGAATACACTGGTGCGGACCCTGTATGCACTGCAGGAGGAGCGTGTTGAAGCTTATCGGCTTTTTGATCTGTAAGTATGAGCCCAATTTACACAGAATCTGAGGTGGTTATTTATTCTAGAACAATACAGGTCTGCAACTTTTCTGTTTCTTTCTGTGTACATTTAACAACAGGAACCTGTTTATCTATGATGTGGTTGTCTTGTCTGAATGGCAACCCATTATGATGTTTTAGGAACTATCCTAATTTTACTGACTCCTGTATACAGATGCTGCCAGACCTGCTGAGCTTTTCTAACAATTTCAGTTTTTGTTTCTAATATTCCAACTGAACTTCGAATCTTCTCTGATCCTGCAGCGCTGTGGGTTTGTGATCTGTTCATTGGACCTTGGATCCCTTTGGGATTTTTTCAGTCCGTGATTTCTGGTGTTCACTGCACTTGTTATCAATGGCCCCTGCACTCCCAGGAACATCCTGAAGCGCCCAAAACTCCAGCGCTCTTCCCTCACTCTCTCCATCTGCCTCATTGATGCACTTGCTGTCTCCATTCTGCTTCTCATTTTCCTCTGTTACTCTCCTCTCTCCTATTGTAATTGCCTGGAACATACACTGTTATAGTCCTGCTGTTACGGACTTATATGGTTCAGATGACAGGAGACAGCCAGACGTGCCTCAGCCTAAGGGCTGCTTGTCCGTTCCCTCCAATGGATTGAATTTAGGCAAAGGACTGAAATTAGGTCTGCGTGCCTCAAGGCTACGAGCAAAGTAAAAGTTTAAAACGTATAGGCATGTTTAATAATAATCAGTGATTTTCTGCTTCCACAACTGTCCGGTTCCAGAGGACACCAGGCGTATCTCCGCTCCGCTCCCAACTATGACTTTATCAAATACAGGCAGCTCGTGCACGAAATCACCCAGGCATTTAACCGGATCTCGAAAGAAGTGATTCAGCTCAAGGACCGGTTTCATGAGGAGTATGATCGCCCCGATCTCTCTGAGCACATCGAGAGAGTTCAGGAACGGGAACGGGAAAAACTGGAGCTGGTGAGTTGGGAAAGGGACCTCAAGGGTGTTGGGGACAGCCATTAGAAAAAAGGGGGGGACAGGTACACACTGTACTGTAGAGAACACTGGTTTAGCTGATCTCAGACTGGGGAGGTATCAGACCAGCTATCTGTTTGAAAAGGGATTCCTGTAGGGAGGATGGAACTAATCACAAGTCTAATCTCACAAGTTTAAGTGAACACTCAAAAGGCAGATGAACTGTGATGTTTAGCAAGTGATAGGGAGGTTCTGAAATGTTGGCATTTCACTTCAAAGGGAATGGAGCATAATAATAGGGAAGTCTTGCAATAACTACACAATGCACTAGTTAGATCACACCTCAAGTATTATGAACACTTTTGGTACTGTATCAAAGGAAAGATATACTGACATTGGGGGCAGCCCAGAGAATGTTTAATACATTGATCCTGGGTATGGAGGCACTGTCAGATTAAGAAAGATTGAGTAGCCCAGTGAGGAAGAATACTATCAGACCCAAACCAGCTTGATCCCTCGTCGGATCCACAACATATTCTTCTAGGAAACTGTCACAAATGTACACTACGAATTCTTCCTCTGGCCCCTCCGCAATTTTATTTTCCCAATATAAATGAAGATTAAACGCAGACATGATTTGAATGTACTGCTTTTTATTTTAATGCCCTCATTATCCTCTGATTTATTCTCTGTCCTGCAGTATAATTCTGAAGAAGAGTCACACTAGACTGGAAATGTTAACTCTTATTTCCTTCCCTATAGATGATGCCAGATCTGCTGAGTTTCTCCAGCATTCTCTGTGTTACCAGTCTATACCAGTGTCGTCTTCCCCTTGTTATTTCTTATCTCTACCAATTTGGATTCCACATCTTCCAATCCAAGATTATTTCTTGCTATTGTACTTATTCCATTGTACAGTATCAAAGCAGTCCCGCCACCCTTTCCTGTCTGCCCAATTTTTCAAAAAAATCACATAGCCCTCAATATTTAGCCCAGCACAACAGTGCAAAAGATAAAGTGGATATATTTGTGGGTTTACCTTCACCACATGACTTGCAACAGCTCAACAAGGCATATCACCCCTACCTTCTCGGGGGCAAGAACGGTAGGCAATAAATACTGGCCCATCCAGTGAATGACTCAAGAAAAAAGGGTACAACATGGGGTTACATTCAGAGTAAAGTGCCCTCTACCTTAAGGAGAATTGTAAGTTTCTGACAAGGGTCTCTTATTTTCTTATACTCTAGACTGCCAGGCTACAGCTTGCCAAGCAGAATATGTTGGACCATCCAGGCAATGAGACCTACCAGGAGGAGGTTCAAGAGTTGAAGCACAGGTATGAGCATTGCTGTTCTGTGCATATCATCAGCTTTGTCCCCTGTATTTGACAAGGTGCTGTCCATCCCCACAGTGCACTATGCTCTCACCACGGATAGGTGGTAATTGCCATCCTGCCTGGCGTTTTGTTTCCAAGAAAGCCTTGCTGCCTGATATCCAGGTCAGAATGCCCCGCAGAGCAGTCATATCCAACCACTGAGACTGAGCAGCTGGTACTGTTGCCTGGAAAAGAATGAACTGAGAAGCAACCTGATGGGGCTCAGGCTCAATAGGATAGTTTCCCTGGCAAGGCAGACCTGAACTAGGGACTATGAAAGTAAGAGAGCCACTAATAAATCCGCTAACAGGGAATTCAGGAGAAACCACTTTATCCAGAGTCTGGTGGGATTGTGAAGCTTGCTTCTACATGGAATGTGGGTTTTAAAGTGAATGCTGTTAATGTATCTAAGCTAGATCAGTGAAAAAGGGATTAAGGAAATGTTGATAAGCGGTGAAGAGTGGGGTGAGATCCATTCGGAGTATAAACACCAGCATAGATCAGTTGGGCAGAGTGGCCTGTTCCTGTGCTGTCTCCATGCAGTAATGACAGAATATAAGGGTGGTTCCATGGGAAAGTTTGTGTCTTGATGAACATTATTAGCCATCTGCTACTGTTTTGCAGCCCCTGGTGATAGTCTCTCTATTCAGAGCTGAACTTTTAGCTCAATAATTTCTGATGCTCTTCCTTTTCTTTCTCATTGCCTGGTTTTGACAAGGAGAAATCAGTCTCCAATCTTACACCTCGATCTTGCTCCATATTGAGTAAGGATCCATTGGATAAATCAGGGCTCCCATCTATATTCTTAATAATCCAGGACAAAAAGCCATTCACAATTATAACTGTCACTTCCACTGACACTGATTTTGAGCCAAGTTTAGCAACTAGGGGAGGCGATGGCCCAGTGGTATTATCGCTATATATTAATCCGGAAACTCAGCTAATGTTTGGAATTCAAATTGTGCCACAACAGATGGTAGAATTTGAATTCAATAAAAAATATCTGAAATTAAGAACCTGCTGATTCTATAAGACATAGGAACAGAAATTATGCCATTTGGTCCAACAAGTCTGTTCTACCATTCAATCGTAGCTGGTAAGTTTCTCAACCCCATTCTCCTGCTTTCTCCCCGTAATCCATGATCTCCTTGACAATCAAGAAGCTATCTATCTCAGTCTTAAGTATACTCAATGACCTGGCCTGCACAGCCTTCTGTGGCAGTGAATTCCATAGATTCAGCACTCTCTGGCTGAAGACGTTTCTCCTTATCTCCATTCTAAAGGGTCTTCCCTTTACTCTAAGGCTGTGACCTCGGGTCCTAGTCTCTCCTACCAATGGAAACACCTTCCTAATGTCCACTCTGTCCAGACAGTTCAGTATTCTGTAAGCTTCAATTAGATCCCCCCTCATCCTTCTAAACTCCATCAAGTATAGACCCAGAGTCCTCAAACGTTCCTCATATGTTACGCTTTTCATTCCTGGGATCATTCTCGTGAACCTCCTCTGGACCCGCTCCAGAGCCAGTACATCCTTCCTGAGATATGGGGCCCAAAATTGCTCTCAATCTTCTAAAGGTGGTCTGACCAGAGCTTTATAAAGCCTCAGAAGTACATCCCTGCTTTTATATTCTAGTCTTCTCAAAATAAATGCCAACATTGTATTTGCCTTCCTAACTACTGACTCAACCAGCAAGTTTACCTTAAGAGAATCCTGACTAGGACTCCCGAGTCCCTTTGCCCTTCAGATTTCTGAATTTTCTCCTCATTTACAAAATAGGCCTCAATCCTTCCTACCAAAGTGCATGACCTCATTTTCCCCCGTTGTACTCCATCTGCCACTTCTGTGCCCACTCTCCTAACCTATCTAAATCATTCTGCAGCCTTCCCGCCTCCTCAATACTACCTGTCCCTCCACCTATTTTTGTATTATCTGCAAAGTTAGCCAGAATGCCCTCAGTTTCTACAACTCGATCATTAATGACCTTCAGGGAAGCAAATCTGCCATCTTCACCAGGTCTGGCCTACATGTGACTCTGGACCCACAGCTATGTGGTTGACACTCAGTTGCCCTGTGAAATGGCCTAGGAAGGCATTCAGTTTTATCAATCACTACAAAGTCTCAACAAAGCAATGAAACCGTGGCATTGAGCTAGGCACTGGAACAAGCAGCCTTGATAACCTTGCAAAGTCTTCCTTACTAACATCTGGGAGCTTGTATAAAATTGGGACAGCTGTCTCACAGACTAGTCAAGCAACAGCCTGACACAGTCATACTCACGGAATCATACCTTACAGACAATGTCCCAGACCACACCACCATCATACTTAGACATGTCCTGGCCGACCAGCAGAACAGACCCCTTAGAGGTGGAGACACAGTGTTATACATTCAGGATGGAGTTGCCTTGGGAGTTCTCCACATTGACTCTGAACGCCATGAAGTCTTCACAAGGACGGAAGAACTTGGGCTATCAATCGGTACTCCTTCATGTTAAACAACATTTGGAGGAAGCAGTGTGAGTAGGGAGGGCACAAAATGTACTCTGGGTGGGGGATTTCAATGTCCATCACCAAGAGTAGCTCAGCAGCAGTACTAATGATCAAACTAGTCGGGTCCTAAAGGACATATTTGCTAGATGGGTCCGGGGCAGATGGTGAGGGAACCAACAAGAGGGAGAAACATACTTAACATCGCCCTTACCAATTTGCTGGCTGCAGACGCATCTGTCCATTACAGTTTTGGTAAAAGCAGCACCACACAGTCCTTGTGGAGACCACGTCACACCTTCACGTTGAGAATGCCCTCCATCATGTTGTGTGGCACTATCACCGTGCAAAATGGGCCGCACTTTGAACAGATCTAGCAACTCAGGACTGAGCATCCATGAGGTGCTGTGGGAATCAGCAGGAGGTTTCCTAGCTCATGTTCTTCCTTCCTTGTGAAGATTTCATGGGGTTCAGAGTCGATGTTGAGAACTCCCAGAATAACTCCCTCCCAAAAGTGTTGTACTCCAGCACAATCTGCAGCCTCATGACCTGACGTCTCGTCCACTCAACTACTACCATCAAGCCAGGGGATCAACCCTGGTTCAATGGAGAGTGCAGGAGGGTATGCAATGGAAATTTCCATAATATGGAAAATTGCCCAGGTACGTACTGTACGCAAAAAGCAAGACAAATTCAATCTGGCCAGTTACATCCCATCAGTCTCCTCTCGATCATCAGTAAAATGATGGAAGGTGTCATCAACAGTGCTCTCAAGCAGCACCTGCTCAGTGACGCCCAGTTTGGGTTCAAACTGGGCCACTCAGCTCCTGATCTCATTACAGCCTTGATTCAAACATGGACTAAAGAGCTGAATTCCAGAGGTGAGGTGAGAGTGACAGCCTTTGATATCAAAGCCCCATTTGATTGAGTGTGTCATCAAGGAGCCTTAGCAAAACTGGAATCATCGGGTATTGGAGGTAAACTCTCCAGTGATTAGAGTCCTAAGGGAATTGTGGGTCAGCCTATAACTGCTGGCTAGCCAGTGACACGCATGTCCCATGAGTAAATAAATGAATAAAATTCCAGCCCTGTACCATGTGAAAGGCTGTTGGTTGTAAATGCTTTCTTCTGAGGTTGAAGGAATTCAGTGAGAGTTTGTGCTGCTGATTACAGTGTCTATGATTGCCCCCATACACTTGCCTCCTTCTTTGCTGAACTATGCATGTGATTGGACACATGGCATAAATAAGACTGAGCTTCACTTTAGTGAACTTCTCAGTCAGATAGCTTGCTGCTGCTCCCTGTCCTGTGTGTGCTTTGTCAAAGCACCCGAGTGCAGTGCACAGAGGCTGTATCTAGCAAGAGTCGGGGGATAGAGGAGGGGTCAGTGGATTTATTTATCGCAAGCCTCTCCATTCTCTCTGATTTTACAATGCATTTATCATTTTCTCCAGGATTAGGAAAACCATTGAGGCAATTAATGAGATTCTTCAGGACTTCAAATACGATTCAGAGGAGATCGAAGCCAGCGGATAGACTTGCTCTCACCACTGTTGAAGATCTGTTAGCGACCCCAGCATCACCATGTCCCACAAACTGCATCTCCTAAAGCTGGAGTTTCTGCTGCTTTCACATTCTCTTCATCACTTGGTGGGAAATTTGCATTGTCACGATTGGCCCCGGTAATTCCTTGCTCCCAAGGTGCAGAGAAAGAACAAGCAGAGGGAGACCTATTTCCACAAAGGTCTTTGAACAATTTTCCCTTACTCTAGAGGAACCAGGTTCATTCATGCATCCAAAAATACAGCAAGGCCTCAGCCCAGAACTTAACCAGTGATGGAATTTACTGAATCACCTGTTTCGTCACTTGCATTTGCTGTTCATTCACTGTGTAAATTGTTTAGAGAAATAAATGACTGTGCTTCTTGTCAACTATTTCAAACTGCAACATCTGTTTGCTGTTGCTTCTGCATTATGAAAGGATGAACTTGCATTCTCTAAATAATCTCAAAATGATTAACTGTTCGGTGGGCAAGCACTGCAGCTACTGAGCACAGCAAGATCCCATAAACTGCAGTGAGATGGAGTAACTGATCTGATTTAATGCTATGGGTTGAGGGATGAATATCAGCGAGGATACCGGAGGAGTCCCCATTTCTTGTTCGAAATAGTGTCTGTGGAATCTGTCACATTCACTTGAGGACAAACAGGCCACAGTTTAATGCTTTCTTTGAAAGATGGCATCTCTGACTGTGCTGGACTATCAGCTCAAGTCTCTGGAGTGAGACTTGAACCCACAACCTTAAACACTGTGCTTTCCGAATATTTTCCCCATTTAGATGCTAGAAAGTTATTGTGTCTCCTCTGAGAACTGAGAAGGTGAGTTGGGGGTGTGAGGTCCTGTGAAAATTGAGGCCAGGGAAAAGATGGTTGAGAGGGAGGTAGCGTAGCTGTATGGTAGCCATTGCTGAGTCTGGGCTCATAACTTCACTTTGGATCCCAAACCTCACTTTGGGAATCCCTGACTTAACTGATCTTTAACAGCGTAATGCCAGGCATTAAACAGCATTTGTGTAATCACATGATAGCACTTTGAACAGTGACTCTGGTAATGGAGAAGTTGTAATGTTGAGGTCCCAAAAGTGAGTGTCCTTTTCATTATGGACAGTATTTAGCCAGTGAGCCACGTGACTTGGAAATAGTAACTCAGTGATGTGGCATCTGACCTTGTGGCACTACAGCGACCCTGACCTGACGGGAGACCAGTCAATCTGTTAAAGACCAAGCCCTCCAGCCAGTCCCAGGGTGACCGCATCCTCTGGCCAGTCCCAGACTGATTGCATCATGCAGGCAGACCAAAGCTGACGGCTCCCTCCGGCCAGTCCCAGGCCGACGGCTCCCTCTGGCCAGTCCCAGGGTGACCGCACCCTCCGGCCAGTCCCAGGCCGACAGCTCCCTCTGGCCAGTCCCAGGGTGACCGCACCCTCTGGCCAGTCCCAGGCTGACAGCTGCCTCCGGCCAGTCCCAAGCCAATGGCTCCCTCCAGCCAGTCCCAGGCCGACGGCTCCCTTCGGCCAGTCCCAGGGTGACCGCACCCTCCGGCCAGTCCCAGGCCGACGGCTCCCTCTGGCCAATCCTAGGGAGACCAAATTCAAATATATAAGATCCTGAGGGGCTTGACAGGTAGATGCTGAGAGCATGATTACCCTTGTGAACCTGGAACCAGTGACAGAGCTTAAAAATATGGTGTCTCCCATTTAAGACCGTGGCAAAGAGAAATTCCTCTGAGGATCAGAAATGTATTAAATTCTCTACCCCAACGACAGTGGAGGCCTGGTCTTTGAATATATTCAAGGAGGTGGTTTGACAGATTTCTGACTGATGAAAGAGGCAGGTGTTATGGGGTCAGCAAGAAAGTGGTGTGAATGCCACATCAGATCAGCTAGGGTTGATAACTTGTCAGTAACATTCATGCAACAGAAGTGCCAGGCAATGACCATCTCTACTGGACATTCAATAGCATTACCAACGCCCAATTCCCCACTATCAATATCCAAGGGCTTGCCCTTAAACAGAAAGAGAACTAGACCAACTATATAAACACTGAGGCTACAAGATTGGGTCGAAGGATGGAATCCTGCAGTGAGTACCTCACCACTTGATTCCACAAAACCTGACCCCATTTAGGAAGCACTAGTTAGGAGTGTGATGGAACACTCCCCACTTGCCTGGATGGGTGCAGCTCCAACATCACTCAAGGCTCAATACCTTACCAAGTCAAAGCAGCCCACATGATTGGTGCCCCATCCTCCAATGATGTTCACTGTTTGCTGACAACTAGTACCATCTACAGGATGCACTGCAGTAACTTGGCAAGGCTCCTCTGGCACCTTCTCCTGAACCTGTGAACTCTACCACCCAGAAGGACCATGACTTCAGATGGTGGGAGCACCACAATCTGTAAGTTCCCCTCCAAGCCACTCACCATCCTGACTTGGAACTATATTGCCATTCCTTTAGTGTCGCTGGGGGTCAAAATCCTGCAACTCGCTTCCTAGATCATTCTGATTTCAGGAGCTGAACTGCTGACACAGCTAGTGATGTTAACATCCTGTGAACAATTGAATAAAGAAGCAAAAAACCATCATCTTATTGAATGGTGTTGCAGGTTTGAGGAGCCAAATGGCTCTCTCCTGCTCCTATTGACATTATCAAATCCTTTAATCATTTTTTTTATTCATTCCTGGGATGTGGGCATCGCTGGCCAGCATTTATTGCATATCCTTGGATGCCCTAATGATCAGCGCAGGAATTTATTCTGCCCTATACAACACAAACCCTCCCCAAACCAGGAGGGGCACAAATTGATCCTAAAACCCCACAGCACCCTGGGGTGGCATCTCCTAACTCTCAGCGCCTCTTCTGTATGGCTGAGAACCTGCTGGAGCAGTTGAACTATCTGTGAATGTGCGATCTGACAATCGAGCTTCCAAACTGCATGCTATTGCTGTAAAGAGAATTTTGCTTCAGAGAAAAATCTTAACATTTGACAACGTTAAATGTTGTGCCAGGTTTATTATAAAGTAAATAAATGATTAATCCCATATATTTTGATTCAGTTGCTTTTTGCGTTCATACTTAAAGGCATTGTTCCATGTACTGGGTGGATTTTCCAATGCTCCATGCCATTTACTTCCTGGGAACTTTGAATACTTTATCCTGCTAAGATTTTGGACTATTTAACAACACTTGACATTTGTACAACACCTTTAAGTACTCTCTAACAGACATCACAAGGGTTTTACAAAATAAAAACTAACACCAAACTACACAAACAGATGTTAGGAGCAAGAAATAAAGAGATAAGGGTGCTAAGATTCTGAAAACACAACTGAAAGACAAAATTATTGAATATGAAATGTTGACCAGCAGTTAAAAGAGGAATGGCCTTCAACCCCTGTGATGGATTTGATCATAGATTGCTGAGGGGAACTGTCAGTGTCTAAACACTTGATGTCACTAAATCATCTCCTGTATCTTTCTTTAATGAATGAATGGATACACCTATGGGAGGGTTTGTAACTGCTCTATGACTAACAATAAGGATCAAGGGTTGTGATGACTGCTTCACACATTCATTTTGGTTCAAAGACCAATCCTCACTCCCCCTAAGGCGTCTGTCCTTTTGAAGAATAATTTCTGGAGTTACCGGCCTGGAGAATCTGAAACAGAAGTAGAGACATATGGTTTACAAAGAGGTGGGTGAGTAAAGATAGCAATATATATAGAGCAATAAGTAAACCACTGAGTTAAAGAGAAAGACAGAGAGACACCAAAAACACTGTTATTGACATCCTGAATGGTTGTTAAATTGCCAGGATAATCCTGAAGGCTCCAAAGTTAGTGATTAATCTCTAGAGCAGGGATGTGAGCAACACACAGGGAAAATCTGTCAGCAGAAGAGTTATATTGGACTTGAAAAGTTAACTTTCTCCTGCCAGACCCGCTGAGTATCTCCAGCGCTCCCTGTTTATATTTCAGAAAATCTAATAGGACATCAATTACATGCGTTCTTTATTTCTTTTAATGCTGTATTCATTAAAAGTCTGCTTGGGCTGGTTTCTTTACTGCAACTGACCTGCATTCAGGACTGTTTTGGGGGTGCAGTTAAGTTTGCAAACTGGAGAAACTGGGATTGTGGCCAAACCACGGTTAACAAAAGAAGTTAAAGACAGTATTAGATCCAGTGAGGAGTTGTGTAAAGTTGCTAGAAAAAGCAGCAAGCCTGAGAACTGGGCGCAGTTTAAAATTCAGCAAGTAAGACAAAGACATTGATTAAGAAGAATAAAATAAGTATGAGAGTAAACTTGCAAGGAACATAAAAACAAACCCTTTAGTGTTTGTGAAAAAACATTACTGAAGACAAATGCAGACCCCTTACAGCCTGAAATGGGAGAATTGATGATGGATAAAAAGGAAATGGCAAAGCAATTAAACAACTACTTTTTTGCCTTCACAGAAGAAGACGCAAATAATTTCCCAGAAGTGTGAGAATCATTTGAGAAGGAGAATTTGAAGGAAATCAGTATTTGTAAAAAAGTAAACAAATTAATAGGACTAAGAGCCAATAAATCCCAGGAATTTAAACAATGGAGTATAATCCAGACAAATGTGAGATGATGCATTTTGGAGAATCAAATTTAGTGTAAATTATACTGTAAATGGCAGAACCCTTTGGAACACTAACAGACAGACAGATGTAGACGTGCAGGTCCACAGTTCACTAAAAGTGGCAAAACACTGGCCAAGGTGATTAAAGCTGTACATGGCATGCTCGCCTTCATCACCCGGGACATGGAGTACAAGAGTTGGCAAACCATGTTGCAGCTACATAAAACCCTCATTAGGCTGCATTTGGAGTATTGTGTGTAGTTTTGGTCACCACATTACCAGAAGGATGTGGAAGCTTTGGAGAGAGTGCAGAGAATGTTCACCAGGATGTTGCCCTGTCTCGAGGGCATTGACTATGAGGAAAGGTTAAAAAGACTAGGATTGTTTTCACTGGAAAGACAGCGGCTGAGAGGAGACCTGACAGAGGTCTACAAAATTATGAGAGGCAAGGATAGGGTGGATAGTCAGAGGCTTTTTCCCAGGGTTGAAGTTTCAATTCCAAGGGGGTGCAGGTTCAAGGTGAGAGGGGGCAAGTTTAAGGGAGATGTGCGAGGGAAGTTTTTCATGCACAGAGTGGTAGGAGCCTGGAACACACTGAGATGGTGGAAGCAGGCATGTTGGCGACATTTATGAGGCATCTGAATGGTTACATGAATAGGGAGGGAATAGAGGGATATGGACTGAATAAGGGCAGAAGATTTGTTTTTTAGTTTAGTTACGGCATGATGATTGGCACAAGCTTAGAGGGCCGAAGGGCCTGTTCCTGTGCTGTACTTCTCTTTTGTTCTTTTGGACTGATAATCTACATGCCAGGGTATGAAACAGGGGGCCATGGAACTTCTGGATGTATTGTTTGTCATCTTTCAAAATCCTGTGGATTCTGGCAGGTTTTAGCATAGCGAATGTAACTCCACTGTTTAAAAAAAGACAGAAATAAAAACTTACAAACTTATTTGCCTGACAGCAATTGTAGGGAAAATGCTGGATGCATTGGGTTCCAGCTGTTCACAATGTTAACAATTTGGATGAGGGAATCAAGTGTAATCTTCCAAGTTTGCTGACAACACAAAACTAGGTGGGAGCTTCTGTGGTGAGGAGGAGATAAAGAAGCTTCATGGAAATTTAGCTTCCTGGAAAATGAGTGGTACAGTGGCTCAATGGTTAGCACTGCTGCCTCACAGTGCCAAGGACCTGGGTTTGATTCCACCCTTGGGCAACTGTCTGTGTGGAGTTTGCACGTTCTCCCTGTGTCTGTGTGCGTTTCCTCCAGGTGCTCTTGTTTCCTCCCACATTCCAAAAATGTTGGGTTAGGTGAATTGGCCATGCTAAATTACCCATAGTGTCCAGGGGTGTGCAGGCTAGGTGGGTTAGCCGAGAGAAATGCGGGGTTACGGGGATAGGGTAGGGGTGTGGGGTCTGGGTGTGATGTTCTTTGGAGGATCAGTGTGGACTTGAAGGGCTAAATGGCCTGCTTCCACACTGTAGGGGGTTCTATTCTGAAGACAGGGGTGTTATTTATCCATTTCTGAGGGTCCATGGTCTCAGGGGTACATAGTAGGATGAGAAGAAATTGGGTGGCAAGGGGTATGGGGGAGTGAGCAGAATTGTGATGTTGAGATAGAGGATAATATTGAAAAGCAGAGCAGACTTGATGGGCTGAACAGTCTCCTCTGGCTTCTATTTTTCATGTTTCAGGATTGAAGAAGCTTAAAAAAAGACTTAAGAAAGTGTTCAAAATCATGAAGGGTTAAAGTAGAATAAATAAAAAGGAACTATTTTCAGTGAGAGGAAGGTCAGTAACTAGAGGGGGGACAGATTTAAGAGAATTTGCAAAAGAACAGCAGGGGTTTGGGAGTTGGTGAGAATTATTTGTACTCAGCCAGTAAATCTGGAACGTGCTGCCCGAGAGGAAGCAGATTCAATTGTCATTTTCAAACAGGTTTTGGAGAAATATTTGATGAGCTGTGGGAAGGAGCACAGGCCAGTGGGAAGGAGCACAGGCCAGTGGGAAAAATTAGGTTTTGAGGAAAGGTCACTGAATCTGAAAGGTTAAGTCTGATTTCTCTCTCTCTGTTAACTGATCCGTTATAATAATCACTCACTTACCAGCTTAATCTCACTCACCTTCCTGCAGTCCGACAAAAACGGCGACTTCTTGGTTCTGGGAGAAGAGAAAGGGCGGAAGAGTCAATGATGGCTGAGAACGAGAGAGGATTTGTGTTGGTGAAAGTGGTAGTGACTTTTTATAATCTGCTGTTTAAGGTTTTAGCAGAGATTTGTAGCTCAGGTTATGAATGAGATTGTTTACTTGTTGACATCATGATGCCACCAGGCATGGTGACGAAACGTCTGAACAAAAATGAGCCAGCTCAGCGAGCAAGTCAACAACCTATAATCTGCTGTTTTCTTCCTTCACTGGAGCCCAAAGGCTTGAAGGTAAACAAAAGCCCACCTGCCCTTGCTGGGCCCAGCCTCAGCAGCACTCAGCACCAGATTGTGATGCTCTGTAGCTGCTCAACATGGGCTTAATGGGCATTGGGTTTGAGCCCCATCCCAGAGGCCTATAATTGAAGCTGACCATTCCCAGTGCAGTGCAAAGGGAGTGCTGTACTGTCAGAGCTACTGTCTTTATTAAAGCAAACCCAGTCTGATGTTTTGGATGGAAGTGAGAGATCTGCTGAGAACTATTCCACAGATGAGTTCTCTCCTAGTCAATATTTATCCCTCAACTAATATTGAAAAAATTATATAATTATGTCATCTCTGACACACTACTATCAGTGGGATCTTGCTTTGCACAAATTGGTAAACATGTTTCCTATGTTCCAACCATGGCTACAGTTCCAGAAAGGTACATCATTGGTGACAACACCCTAAGATATTAAAAGGCACTATGCAAATGCACACTGCAGCCAGATCCTGTCAGTTCTGTGTGTACCTGGTTCCGTGTCTTGTGCGATTTCTGCAACCACACACGCCATTGGTCATACAGTTTGATGTTCAGAGCGGTACACCCATAGGCGTGCTTCTTAACCCAGCCAAAAAACTGCTTGAGCTCACGCCGCAGATTGGAGCTGCTCTCCCCACTCTTCTGGTAACACGTGCCACTCGATCTCTCTGCCAAGACACCGGGGAGCATTGCTATTTGTCACATTGTGGAAAGACCACATAACAGTACTGAAAATCAACACTTCCACCACATCATTAAAGACCCAGAAAACTCACTATCCTGTCTGCTTATGCTGCCTCTGATCATGTCAGAAACCCAGTAAAGATCCATTTACTCTTTTAAACTGAAAGTAGAGCACCCTAGACACTATCTACATCAAACACTCCCTGGGCAGGGGCAGCGCAGGTTTAGATAGAGTAAACTTCTACCCTTCCTCTATCCTTCCAAGCTGAAAATAAAGCCCCCTCTACTCTTTTAAAGGGAAAGTGAAGCCTCCTCCGATCTTTCAAACAGAACGTAAAGCTAACTCTGCAAGTCCCCATCATACAGTCCCACAAGTATAGCAATAGGTTAGAAACAGACTAAACTCTCTCTACTCTTTTAAACCGAACATAAAGCTTCCTTGACACTGTCCCCATTAAACACTCCCCTGATGAGGATGGCATGGGGTTCAAAACACAGCAAAGCTTACTTTATTCTTGCAAATCGGAAAAAAAGCTCCTTCCACACTGTCTCCATCAAACACTCCCAGGACAGGTACGGCATGGAGTTAGGTACAGAGTAAAGCTCCTACTGCACTGTCCCCATCAAACGCTCCCAGGACAGGTAAAGCTCTCTCTACTCCTTTAAACTGAAAGTGAGGCTGCCTTGACACCGTCTCCATCAAACACTCCCAGGACAGGCACAGCATGGAGTTAGATACAGAGTAAAGATTCCACTTCTCTTTTAATCTGAAAGTAATGCTCTTCTATGCTGTGTTCATCAAATAGGGACATCCATCTTCATGGGACATATACAGTACGGGATTAGATACAGAGTAAAGCTCCCTTTACTCTTTTAAACTTGAAGTAAAGCTCTCTCTACATTATCTTCATCAAATACTCACAGGATAGGTGCAGCATTGAGTTACATAGAGTTAAATGTACACACTGCCCCTTTAATATCCCTGAATCAAGCTTCAGCAGTTCATCAACTGTAACCCTTTTACACTAACTGCAATGTCACCCCCTCTGGTCTGCCTGCCTATTGTTGAATTTGGGATATGTCTGTGCTGTGGATTCAGGTTCCCGTATTTTTGATTTTCTGTCATATACAGAAAATGGAAAGCCTCACCGTTCCGGGGTGTGGAGGCAGCTGTGGGAATGCTCCATTCACTCCAAATCCCAGCTTTCCTTGAACCGTAAATGCCAACGGGGTTACAACGCACCTGCACAAAATAAACAGTGCCCGGTCGCAACCCTGCCAATCGGCACAGGGTCTGGTTTCCAATGTCATCCACTACCTGCAGTTACAAAGTGGCAGAGAGGGGGTTAAATAATGTGAGCAGAGAGCTTCTTGATTAGGAGGGGGTTCAAAGGTTAAGGGGAGAGGGCAGGGAAAAAATATCAGCCACAAAGTAGGGTATGCAGGGTAGTTTGATCTTAGAGTAGTTCGGCACAACCTCATGGGCGGAAGGGCCTGTACTGTGCTGTTCTGTTCTATGTTCTATGTTCTATGAGTGAATGGTGGCGCAGAATGGGCTATTTTGGCTCTTATATCTAATGGTTTTATTCACCAATCAAGTTTGGAAGACTGAGGGGTGATCTAATTGCCATGTTTAAGGTGACTCAAGGACCTGAAAGGGTCAATAGAGAGAGATGATTTCCTCCAGTAAAAGAATCCAGAGCAGATGTGGGATGATGGTGGCGTTGTGGTGATAGTACTTGGCTAGTCGTATACAGTTGTAGGCTAATACTTTGGAGATTTTGGTATTAAATTCCACCATAGCTGATGAGGAATTTAAATGCAACTGGAATTGAAACCTAGTGCTAGCAATGATGGACATGTGAACTATCAAAAACCCATCTAATTCATTAGTGCCCTTTAAGGAAAGAATGTGACTCCAGACCCACAGCAATGAGATTGATTCCTATCTGCAAGCCACTCAGTTCAAGGGCAATTAAGGATGAACAATAAATTCTGGTCTCATCATTAAAAGGCGAAACAAGGGAGAACAAAATACAAGAGGCAAGAATCGATAATACGAAGGGGGGACGTTGTCAGGGATTTTTTTCCTCACAGAAAAGGGAGCAGAAATCTGGAGCTCTGCCCCCACTAAGCTGTTTAAGCTAAAGGAAATTTCAGACAACTGGGTTTTTGATGGGTGAGGCATTTAGTGGATATAGTCCCAGGGTGGGTACACAGCTAGGATCCAGATCAGCTGCTATTTATTGAATGTTGGGACAGACTGAGGTCTCCTCTCCCACTCCTGTGCCAATTGAGTGGAACCTGCAGTGCTGTGCCAGGGCTCCATCAACACTGTCCTCTTCCTCCCTCCTGGATTTACAGAGCAATCCCTGCTGGTACTTCAGTCAGTGCTTGTCTACAGGCCTGGGCACTCATCAGCAACAGGATGTTGGACCATAGGAGCCATCGCAGTTGAGTTCAACCTGACCTTGAATAAGGTACATGTACAGTACACACAGCTAATTACTTATGTACGTGCATGGCCCTGCATATACTCAGACACATGTACACATGTGCATTAATGCACATCAATAAGGTCACAGGCACACCCTTATGCACGCACAAGGGGTGGGTTCCTAGACAGAGATGGTGATCTGGAATCTGGGCTGAATTTCCCCTCCCTAATGGAGGATCTAAAACTATGTGCCTTCATTTAGTTATCCCACCCCTGGTCAGTGCCTCAGCCCCTTTTACCTTCCATTCCGTGCTGTCCTCCACACGATACCGGATCTGATACTTGGCCTGAAAGAGGAAATCTCTCAATGCAGGCGGAGAGCTCCAACGGACACTGAGCTGGTCCTCCAGATCACCAACACGGTTCACCTGAACATCAAATGGAGCATCCGTGGTAACTGTTTCAAACAATAAACAACCATGTGGCTGTTTTAGTGCAATGTGTAGCAAGACTGAGTGTCCCAGCACTGACTGAGTGTGTATGTGTGTATAACAGGAAACGAAATATCCCAGCACTGACTCTGTGTGTGTGTGTCTCTGTGTGTGTGTGTCTCTGTGTGTGTGTGTCTGTATGTGCATTTGTGTGTGTCTGTGTGTGTGTGTGTGTGTGTGTGTTTGTATGTGTCTCTGTGTGTGTGTGTCTCTGTATGTGCGTGTGTGTGTGTGTGTCTCTGTGTGTGTGTCTGTGTCTCTCGATGCGTGTGTCTTTGTGTGTGTGTGTGTGTGTGTCTCTCGGTGTGTGTGTCTCTCGGTGTGTGTGTCTCTCGGTGTGTGTGT